GGCTTGAAGGACTTCATACTTGTGATCATAAGTCGGACTACTTCACTTGCTAGGCGAGCAACTGGATTCGACAAAACCTACACAAACAAGTCAATTGGTTCTGAGTTGGTATGTTTGCTATTGACCAGAAGGTGAGCTCCCTTCATTGATATTTTGTTTTCTCAGGTTACTACGCTCCGATCTCTGTACCACTCACGTGATGTGGCGTGTGTTTATTGCATTTTACGCAATCCTGTTACCTCAACATGTCTGGAGTGTTATGCACTAACAATGAGTTATGGGAGGACAGTGCAACGACTTATTTGGACGGTAGCATTCCCCTCTAAATCTTAAATGTCAGGATTAACGAATCTTTGGTACAGATATATTTCACTTCACAGACATATACGCATTGGCAGCAATCTACTGAAAGGTGGATTTTCAGGAATGACAGTGTCTGTACACGAACGAGTTTCACTCTGTATCCATAAGCCCCATCCTGTATGTTTTATCAGCGAGTTATATAATATTAAGATAAAGATAATTATATCATGCAGAACACAAGCTCTCGTGATTGCGGTCTCTTCTGCCACGTAACATGAAACACTTTTTCTCAATACCAACTTTTGGGGCACTGCATTTGAACAATTCCCGTGGTCGTAGGTTCGAATCCCACAATCGCTCCGATCATGATTCGTGGCTTGTCAGCACATAGCCGTACTCGCGGGTTTGAATTTGTAGCATCTAAGATTTGCATCAATGCAGGCTTTCTTCCCATATTAAGCTGACACACCGTGATATAACTGAAATACAGTTCAAAACAGCAATACACCCAATCCACTCACTCTATTCTTTGAGACTATGGATAAGTCAATTGTATCAGCTGTGTATTAAGTTTCTGGATAGAAAATGCATGTCAGAAGCATCACTTGCTAAGGAAAATCTAGTCTATCAATATCATTGTGACACAGTAATGTACTACGCAACAGAGCGACAACTTTGACCTACTACATTTCTTAGTTATCTTTCTCGCACAGGGTGGCTTTGTTTGTAACCACGTGACATGCCTTTAGATTTTGAACTGTGAGCCTGGCCCCCGCCCACTTAGAACAGGTAGCGGATACTTTATTCTGTATGACATTGATGTGTTGAAGACCTGTGCCACAAGTCCCTTTTGTCGTCTTCTGGGGTAAGACATTTGGCTTCGGCTGACTAGAAAAGTTTAGCACACGAAGAGCTTTTTTAAGGTAGACCTCGCTTGCATAAATATATTTCATTAGTTTAACTGGTCATGTTATAGCCCGTGTTAACAAATGATCTCAGAGAGTCCTCTCTGTGAATGGCTGTTGTATGAACTCTATGCTATTGTACAGAACGTTGTCCAATATATGACGTCATCAAGTCGCTTGTTCGAATCTTCAGCAACGACATCATAATAGAAAAATGTCTTATCGTGAAATGAACCACGCTTCACTGTTCATATCTCTTTGCAGTTTATCGCATAGCTATTTACATATTGATTTAAACTCAATAATGTTCACCATGTGAAACAACCATCATACCTGGTATTGTTTTCATTTTACAGATACCATCACGCACGCATTACATCTCAGGATGGATATTCCCCATAGTCTTATCCTGCAAAGGAATCACGTATATCTAAAGGAGAACCTTCAGGTCGACCCTGTGCTGGATGCCTTGTACCAGAACCGTGTCTTCACACAGGGAGACTATGACAGGTGTAGACAAGCTGCACCAGAGAGACAATGTGAACTGTTCCTGGAGATTTTGAAGAAAAAAGGGGTTGAAGGCTACAGGACACTGTGTGCTGTCCTCGATTCAACACAACAATTTATCAAGGAGAAACTTGATGAAACCTCAACTGAAGAAGGTATTTCAACCTATCACATGCCTCTTGATTCATATCGAATATAATATTACTAATCAAAATCTACAAAAAATGTTGGTGTTTTAGTTCAGGTTGGTTCTAAGCACCATAGGCTGTGAAATTGCAGCTCATCACTTAATACACATGTAGTTTTCAATGTGCATTATATATCAATAATGTACACGTATTAACAATGAATTATCCTAGATTGATCTGTGGTGAAATATGAATGTTTCCGCCCAGGTTTTGGCTTACTGAACCCAGTGTAGTTACACTCCCATTCACGTGGACTAAGAAAAAAAGACAAATCATATCATATGTTCCTGATCGATACATGGTGTAGGCCTTGGACACACTGACAAGTAAATGTTTTTAGGCGTTTTACCAAAGATAAATATACCAAAGTACATGTTATAGTCCTGAGGCTAATAATATTTCCTATCCTGGCACAACATATTCCAATGTCCTCCTTCACTTCGATCATATAACGCCTAATCTAAAACGTGCCTCCGTGTACATCCAGAGCCCTCGTTACCATTGCTTATTCTGTAATGAGTTATTCATTACGTCCCTTCTCATCAGACAAGTGATACAGATGTGCTATCTGTTGGCAATTATATCCTTTGACTTCGGGTTTATTATACACTCTACCTGAATGAAACGTCACAGATATCTTTCAAGAAAGCTATTACAATGACGTATGTGGAAAACTTTCATTTTGGACCATGCATTTGTGCATTATTGTTTTTGTGATCGTGACAAAAAAAATAATTCCCGCGATTGATTGTCCAAACTGTCGAAAGTAAATGTCAATGTCACCAGAACTGTCTCCCACCAGCGTTTCTCCTCGTCTTGGATCGCCATCTGTCGCGCCTAATGGTGTCACATTAAGGGTACTCGTCGTCGCATACCTGGGATGCATCCTCCTGGCGACTGTCGCTAGTGACTGGAGCTCTACTGGGGATCAGTGCTTTGTCTGTGACTTGCGATCCACTGGCGATTGTCCTGAGCTTCGTATCTATTCGATGGTTTTCACCCATCATTGAATACAACGTCTTGCCATCATCTAGCAAATACATTACCCTGACATTGCTGATGCTTCCCATATGGATGGTGCCTTCACATTTAATGGCTACGATGAGTGCATCAGTGTCTGGTATGTCATCGTCACCAGGACAGTCCCCAAAAGCGCCTCTCTTCGTCCTGGGATTGGTGATGTACTTTTTGTTCCCTTTTACAAGTGTCTACTTGGGAACCGGCGCTCAGAGAATTACTATGCAGTCCACACCTTTCTGTGGGTGATCCAACGTTAAGGAAAGCAACACCATCCTTGAAATGAGCTCTACTGCGAATGGCTATCAGAAAACCGTTTCCGTTTTCATCTTACTAACACGCAGAACTATACGTTATTTTAACCACTCATCACAGTTTTCCTCCACATTAGGGATGGGCAATTCCATCGGCGGCTACTCCACTTGGTAGATATTGACTGCTACAACTTCCAGGGCCATCCTGGTTTCTGACAACAGTGCCTTCAGTTACACTTTCTCCAAGTACAGTCTTGTGATAACGTCTTAGCCCTGGGGGTGTGATCACACGAAAACTATCACGACTTCCATGTGCTTGGTGTCTCCGTCCCTGACACCTGATTATGAATTCACATATTCCAGATGTGCCAGTGAGCACTCCACAGACTTTAGCTGCAAATTCAGAAAGTGGAGAAACTTTAAGCGGGTGTGACAATAACATTCTCGCCTCTGGCCAATTGACTCATAAGTTTCGCTCCAGCCATGATCAACTGGAAATAGCCAGGACTATTAGTGACAGCCACTGTGGTAACACTCAAGTGACTTGTTTGGCAGAACATTTCTACACGTTGCTGACCTCCGTGCCACTAGAGGCCTTGTTTCACCACATCTCGGGCGTTACACATGTTGTCGCAGACGCGATGTCAAGGCGACACCAGTCCACGCCAACATAATGTCAAGTTCATCTGAATTTCTTTTAGGTGATTGGTTAACAGCTGAACACGCCCAACAATGATGTTGGCGCTACAAGATACGACAACCAGCTTCCAATGTTCGACTCTCCAATCTTAGATTCATTCTTCTGGGATCACGATCCACTGGCCATGTTCTGGAACACAATGCACACCTTCATATTATCGACACCACCACTACTACTTAGAGAACTGCTGAAGTTGACTAAAACTAGTGCCAACCTCTTTCCATTGTGCCTTATTGGCTCAGGGGACTATGGTTCCAGAATTAGAAAGATCACAGGAATCCCGGGAACCACCCTTGGAAGGCAACTCCGCAATGCATGCATGTAGCAGACTCATTGATCCCCAGACCGTTGAACATCCACAACCATGAACCCATTCCTTGCCGTTTTCTAGGTCCAGAAGAGTCATGCTTGTATTTGGGAAGTCAATGCCTTGAATGTAACTTAACTTAAATTTGACAATGACCAGATGCCTCATATGGACCTAATGTGGGATTTTGTGGTCAAACACCATTGTTTTCCAGATATTCTTTGTGTCACGGGACTCACGTATTTTAAGCCGCGCTGCTAGACACTGAAGCATCAATTTAAAAGTTAGAGTTAAGGATATGGCAGGGGATATGGATTAGTGAGGATTACTCTTGCTAAGCATATTCTTATACATACATATTCCAGAGCTGGTCAGCAATAAGGCAAGCTGCTGTAGCGGATCCCAAGTGTTGCAATATGTTGTGAAGGGATAGAACATATGCTACATGAATTTGGTTATTCACGCTATTAGAATCCTTACATTGTCACAAAAAGTCTCTGGCCCAGGCCTAAATACCAAGACACATGCTGACGAGAAGGCAGTTGAGTATCAAGGGCGGGTAACTCTGCTTGGTAACCAACGGCAACGTGTGTTCCCATGTAGAAGTGGCCTGCTTTGGCTTCTATTTTATATGATCAAATGGAAATACATTGTGCCAGGATGAGTATTCTTTTTAACATGAATAGCAAACGTCGACAAGCAAGGAATTATTCCAAACAATATCAACTTTAAATTATATTCCTTTTCAAAGATATATGATAACAGTCTTATAAATCTTGTCACACCCTGTTTTCTACTGGCGCAATATTATATTTTCAGGTAGTTCAGATCTAGTCTATGTCAACAAGGAAAAGGTGGAAGCTCACCACAAAAAACAACTTGCTGAAAAAGATGGGCAAATAGCTGGCATGCACTCTGTACGTTGTGGAGAGACAGCACAAGCTCGTCTATTTATTATGTTAAGAGCTCCCTTGTTTTGAGAAGAGATATATATTTAGATGTATATGGTTTTAACAATGGTAGTGATTATTAAAAGTACATTTACACCAATGTTGAAGTTTTCATAAAAAAGGAGTGTAACATGTAAAAAGAATGACATAAACTGCTACATGTATATGCAGTCGATATGAACTTCTTAAACGATCGTTCGCGTTTGTTTTAAGGCAATGGAAAGACTTGAGGAACAAGTTAAACAAAAAGACACAGACTATGCTGAACTGGAAGAACAACTTATAAAAGAAAGAGGGGATCTCACAACACAGATAGAAAAGAAGAATGAGGAAGTTGAAGCTGGTAATCTGACATTAATAATATATAGTTCAATATCGCTTCTATCCACAATTTTGATTTTGCTTATGTTGCCAGTAAAAAATATTATATTTGGTATAACACTTTCTTAGTAAAGTACAGATTCTCTTTCTTGTTCAAGCTATGATTTTTTCGTTTGGTTTGTTGTTTAACGCCGCACTCAGTAATATTCCAGCTATATGACAGCGGTCTGTAAATAATCGAGTCTGGACCAGACAATCCAGTGATTGATATCATGAGCATCGATCCACACAATTGGGATCGATGACATGCATCAACCAAGTCAGCGAGCCTGACCACCCGATCCCGTTAGTCGCCTTTTACGACAACCATAGTCACATTGTATGGCAAGCATGGGTTGCTGAAGACCTATTCTACCCCGGAATCTTCACGAGTCCCGAAAGCTATGAACACACAATGTCATACCCCTCTGACAAGCGTATATTGGCACGGCTCCCAAGGCTGAAATCAATGAACACACAATGACATTTAGAAAGTGGTCAAATGTAACAAATAGTATAAATTTGGGATAACACATTCTTAGAAAAGTACAGATTCCCGTACTTTTTTAGGTTGAGTCCCATCCGGGATTCGAACCCACACTGTCACTGCCGGATAGGACTCAACTTAAAAAAGTACGAGAATCGGTACCTCACTAAGAAAGAGTTATCCCAAATAAAACATTTGATCACTTGCTAAATGGCGTTGTGTGTTCATATTTTGCCAGTGTTCACGGTGGTAATTGAACATCCTGGTTTCCAATGGCCTGTCTATGATAAATAACTACATTGTATCATTTCTGGAAATATACTAATTCCATATTTTCAATGGACCATGCTATGCAATGTCCGGAATGTTGACACATAAAACTGTTATCTGAGGCTATCCATGCATTTTTCTCGTTTCAGTGAAAACAAAATTGTCAAAGGCAAATGATGAGTTGCTGCATATTCGAGCAAAATGTGAAACAGTGGAGAAGGTGAGATTGGATCAACTTAAATGTTGAAGGAGTTATTTTGCACAACTTCTAAACTAAATGGAAATAAATTAACGCGTAATATCTTCATAACAAGATACATGTCTGTGATGCAGTGATAACTGTCGTTTCAGAGACTACAAGAGGAAGAGGAGGCATATGATGCTGTATTGGGGGTTCCCAGGTCACAGTCCCCAGACAGGGTACATGTAAGAGAGGAAGTCCATCAAGCAGGTGCATTAAACAAAGTGACACTCCATCTTATATATGTAACTTATGAACAAAAATACAATAACACGGTAAGTAAGAGTCTGATTATATTTGTCTGATGAATCAGTTCCTTTAAGCTTTAAACTGATCGTGTCATTTGTTTTTCCTCAGATTCGACTGAGCGAATGTGTCAGTTTACAACTAAGTCCTGCTGTGATGGGAGTCAGCTTTGCCTTCTTCCATGCCTTCATTCTGCCTGCAAGCCATGCATTGATCACCAAGTCACCCAAGCCAAGCAGAATTGCATACATTGTCCCTCCTGTGGCCGTGAGTTCAACATGGAGCAGACAGCAGTGGACTATGTTGGACGCAATGAAGCTGCCTATAATGCCAACGTTGATGGAGAGAAGAAATGTAACTACATCGAAGGAGATCATGATGCAAAGGCTGTGATGTACTGCCACGAATGTGATGACCTACTCTGTTCCGACTGTCATAAACTGCACGACACAATAAAACGGAATCGAAATCACATGGCGAGTGAGATCAACCAGGCGGAGAATATCCCCATGAAGCAGTGGCTGAAAGAACCTAACTGCAGAGACCATCCTGACAATAAGCCGCAGCTGTATGACCACACATGTAAGCAGGCAATGTGCCTTGTGTGTGTACATGGAGCCCACAAGGGTCACGAGAATGAAGACTTGAATCATGCCTATGTGGAAGCAAAGGGTCAGCTAGAGGAGCAGGTGCAGAAGCAACGACTTAAACTGAAAGATGTCACAGTCAGAATGAAAACTATCAACAGTCACCAAAACAAACTTGGAAATAAACAGAGAAAGCTGGAACAAGATGCCACTACAGTCTTCAAAAGTGTTGCTGTACGGTCCCTTTACCGGCAGAGACAACTCATGAAGGACATTCATGCGAGTCTTCAGGCCCCAAATGAAATGGTTAAAGAGAAGCTGGACACTTTACATGACGTCCATACTTCAATAGTATCAACGATAGACTACAGCCAGAGAACCCTTGAATCCACAAGACAGGAGGAGCTCATTACCCTCACCGGTGTACTACAGAAGAAATCTGATGAAAATCTGAAGAGGAAGCTTCCAGAAGATGACACACTAAACACGAGACTCCTTCTTTCCTTTCAAGGACAGAAAGCCCTTATGGAACTAATCCACACATTTGGTGGTCTTGCCTCCAGTCTCGATTTGGATGATATTCCAGATAAACAGCCTACTTTACAGGGTAAGAATGCTTCTTCAAAATCGGAGCACTGATCGTGGACTTTAGGAACAATATCCTTTATCATAGCTAAGTGCTTTTGTATATTTTAAGTTATCTTATCTTGCATGCCTTAATACCATTATTAATCGATTAAAAAGTATCTTGCTATTCCATGTACAGTGGACCAGTTTTATATTTGACTTGTAGTATATCTGAGGTGAGACGAGAAAATCTTATTTGTCTGTCTCTCTGTCTATCTGTTTGCCTGTCCGTATGTACGATGGGTAAGAGGAAAACTGTTACCAATAAGGTAATCAATCTGTGTTTGTCATTTTCTCTTCAGATCTCCATAAACAGAATAAACAGCTGGCATTAAAAGAAGAAGAAACCAGCGCGGTAATGTATTGCTTTCGTAACAGAATTTTGTTTTTATTAACATGTTTTCTAAGAAAGGGTTTCAATGGCTCTTTACATTGAGTACATACATGACTCAAATTGTGAGTAAAACATATGTTAATCAACACGGTTGGAATCAAGTTGCACATCGTTCCTAACACCCACATAGCTAAATGTCACATGCAGTCGATAAATAAATTATGTATGTGGTATGATATGATACACAGCTATTGTGTGAGGCAAAGGTTATGTTCTGGTCTCTATGGTCTCAGCGATGTTGTTTTAGGTACATGAAGGGCGGTGGCATCGGCTTGGGGAGATGATCCGTCGCATCACAGGTACAATATAACACCTGGATGTAGGTCAGGAAAAGCAGATTAAATACCAAATGAACTACATTAACCTTCAAACTGTAACATAGAATATCAATGTATTCAGTGTATCAGTTTAAAACTCACTTTCTGTTTATATAAAAGCAGTAAATAATAAGACTTTAGTTAGATTAATTATTGAAATCCACTACATTTATCTACCAACAGGTTCTGCTACAAGTGGAGATGGATCACAGAGACTCCAACCTGAACATCTTACGCCACAGGGACTCCAACCTGAACAGCTGACACCACAGGGACTCCGACATGAACGGCTGACACCACAGGAAGCTTATGAAGTTGTCACACGTGTACGTTAAATGACAAACAACCCCCACCCCCTCAAAATGTAAACTGCGAAGTATAGAAGAAAAGGAAATCATTCAAAATTGTCTAGCCAAGAAACGTATTTAGATTTATACATAGAACTTACATAATGTGTCAAGCTTATTAATAATATGTTTTCAGTTCATACTCGGAGCATCAATCATTTCTGAGTCACCTTCACGTGGTTTATACTTGAGAGGTATGTACAACACGATATGGGATTTAGTTATTTAGTCAAAACTATATCTCGAATGTCAAAGTTACTGTCAAGTTGTAAGATGTCACCAGTTTACTAGATTTCCAGGTAAAGGATGCATGACCCATAGCAGTTATGTATAGCAAACAGTTCCACCTGTTTAGTGAACGATACTGTAGTCCACATACGACAACTGCTTACATCAAACGTCCTTGCTGTTTTCAAATGATAACATGTAATGATACGGCGAGGCCTAGGAAATGCATGACCTCTTTCGTTTGGATAATATTCATTTTACATGTTACACTTTAAAATCGTTGCTTCTGGCATGTCAGAAAATACATAGTTATTAGGAAGGTTTATCTAGATCAGTTAATGTAGTTCACTGCACAATAACAGGCAAAATGAATTAACTAGCTTCACTTGTGTGCTTCCTGGCTTATGTTGGGGCATGTGCTGCCCATGTCGACATTTGTGAAAATTTGCACCCTTTAATCGTGCCATGATGCTCTGAACTTAGTATCATGGATTCAAATCGTAAATTCGACCAGATCATGGTTTTGGCTTCAAAGAACCATATGTGTGTTTGCTCAGTGTAAGACTCACTCACACTTTACAATGCTTATATTTTGCAGGGTACTCAGGTGCAATTCACATCATCAGCAAGAACAGACGTTTCATATTCATCATCTGTAAGTATTTTTTTTTTATCGTAGTTCATGTTGATTAGGCAATGTCGTTAAGCAATAGTTTCTAGCGTACAAAACCACTTAAAAAGTTAGTTGCTTACAATGTATTACCTGTATTACCATCGTGTGTCACCAGCGTTGATCGTAGTACGTGTTATCAATCACCGGTGTGCTGCATGCAACTTTATAATGACCAGACGTCCATGACGTAAATGGAACATGTAAATGTAAATGAAAAGAATAATACTAGAGGGATTAAAACAAGTCACGCGTTGGACCCGTGTACATCCAGCAGTTGTAGTGGGGGATAAGGGATTAATCATGGCTGGGAACACATGGAATCGGCTTCACACATTCGCCCTTGTTGGGAGTGAACAAGGTAACCCTTTAAACACAAGGCTACTCCACTACCACTCCAGCAGTTGAACGTTCCAGTTTCGCAATCGTATGGGTGTTCTCATACATGTATGTTTTCTGTGGGAGCATCTTCCAGAACGGTAGAAAGCTGTAGTGTAGTTCGGCAGAAGGTGAGCTGTGTGAAACACAAGAATACATTGATGGGTAGCACAAATCAATGGTGTATGATGAAACGACAATGTGCTCGAAACTCACAAATATTGTTTATATCGGCTGAGCGAATACTTCAATCAGGTTCACCCACATTCTGTGTCAAGTGTCCATGCAGGTTCACCGTGTGTGGCCATGGCTTGTGTTCCCAGCTGTGTTAATGCTGGAATACTTCTAAGTGGTGTAAAACCATATTCACCTACTCGCTTAAAGAAATAGGCTCCAAGCCAACCTATCTATTCAGGTGAATGTCAGTGTGTGGGGATGTGTCAACACTCCCTATAGAGGTCATAGTAGGAAACAGCGTCGCCCATATTTTGACAATTAGCGTGTCATACTTGGTAAAGTCCTCTGAACGTCTGTCATAGGATATCTGGATTGTCTTGACCAGACCTGTGAGGGTTAGTCCTTGATAAAAAAAGATTAGATGTAAACGCAATGTGTGTTGCCACAAAATGTGAATAATCTGACATCCTCACTTCAGTCCCCAAACAACCGGGAAATGTAGACGTCATAAGCTGGAGCTGATCTATCATGACCTCGACATTATCCGGGAAATTTGGGATGTCAAAACAAAGACTAAACAATCATATAATTGACAAGGCATTACTTCCCATTTGCGTAGCAATTTTCAGTTAGCCAACCAGCCAACTTGAACTTTGCACTTCTTTGATTTTTTATTGATTTTTATTGTTTTGAGGTGCTATCACATATGTGTGACAACACAATAAGCAATGTCCTAGCCAATTTGCGTTTACTCCTTTTGGGTGTTTGCTTTAATTATGTTTATTATTTTTTAGTCTACCACCACATATGTAACACTTGTAAAAGTTCACCTTTTTTATAGAAGCACCTCATATAGCGGTGAGTTAGGCCAGTTTGATCGTCACGTCAAAGATGAGGGTTCGATTCCCCACATGTGTGCAATGTGTTTGTGAATTCCATTTCTGGAGTCCCTCACCGTGACATTGCTGGAATATTGCTAAAAGTGGCTTATTTACAATATTCACTCATGTGAATCACATTAACTATGTACATACATTCGCTCGTCACGCTGAAGACACGGGTTCGATTCCCGACATGGATACAATGTGTGAAACACGTGTCTGGTGTCCCCCGCCGAGATATTGTTGGAATATTGCTAAAAGCGGTGTAAAACCATACTTACTCACTCACTCACTCACTCACTCAATGTACAAAAACAAATATACATGTAACTTTGATGTTGATTTCTTGGGTGGTGAA